GGAAAAACACAAGAGTTTGCAGACATTTTTTAGGAGTGCAGACTAGAAGAGAAATGAAAGTAAGAAATATTGAAAGTATAGAGAATGATTTAATTATTTTTTTAAATATATATATAGAGGAGAAAAAAATAAGATATTTTTATAAAATAATTTTAATAAAATGTAGAATAATTTAATAATCTATAACTATATTTTTGTAGCTTTATAAAAATGTCATTTTTAGTTTATGGCTTTATTTAAAAAAATATTGTCAAATCATATATGTATTATTTAATAATAATTATCATATTATTTGATATATAATTATATCAAATATTAATATAAATAATGGGAATATATTAGTAACATTAATAATAATAATAATAATAATAATAACAACTTTTTGTAGTTTGATATTTAATTGTGTTGAGTTTATGGTTTTACTTAAAAAATGTGAACATTTTATTCTGATTATTTCTAGAGACTAGAGTATTGTAATGTCCATATATTGTACTTTATTATTACATAATAATGATAATAATTATAATAATAGTAATAATAATGTTATTATTATTTATAATTGAAATAAATTTTTCTACCAAGTAATATAGTCCATTAGATGTATGGTTGGCTGTTTATGTTTGCCTTGCAATTTATCAGCTTTGATGCATAACTGATGCACAACTGATACAACTGAGCATCTACTGGACAGACCATTTTAATTTTTGATGAAAGTAGAGTGGAGCAGCTGTTCGTGTTAGTTGTTGGAGGTGTGATGTGTTGCTCGGATGTTCTTCGTGAGACACTGCCTCGGCGGATATTCATGCTCTACTCAGCCTACAGAATGAGTTGCACACTCTTAGAAAGACTGAAAGGAGAGAGTGAGAGTTGGATGGGGGTGATGTGTTGGAATCATCTCAGTGAATAGATCCAACAACAGCCAAGCTTCCCCCTCCCCAAACGCCCTCATTATGAATGACCTTTCATACCCTTTCTAACGCACTGAGGGCCTCTGAAGGTGAGTAGAGTCATCGGTCCCTTAATGCTCCACTGCAGAACTCCACAATATAGACCTGCTTTAAAAATGCCATTGTGTGCAGAATTCAGCCAATATGAACGGAGGTCATCGTGTCTCCACCAATCACAGAACGAGCTTACCGCTTCTCTGCTCCTTCATGTGATTTAAGCTGCAGAGCCTCAGAAGAGATGACGACTCTGGGGCCGCAGCCATTAGCAGCTGATGACTGCTGGGATTTGGAGACCAAAGCAATGATGTCCTTTTGGACACCTTGATTTATCCATGTTTCAGGACGGTCGATGTCTGCATTTTTATAGATCACCTTACCAAGAAAGCATTAACACACTCAGTTTAGGAAGTCAGTACACTGTGCTGCTGAAGCGAATTGAAAAAAATAGGTATTTTTGCTTTGAAACATAATATAATGGGCAGTTATCTCATCACGATGGATCCAAAACTTGGAATTTTGGATTAACTTTTTCCCCACAGTTTCTTTTTTCACCTATTTAAAGCTGTGAGCATGAAAGGGGGGACTCTGGACAGTCAGGTTGAGGGGAGGGGTTGCTTCATAATAACAGGTCTTTCATTTTGCTCAGGAACTGATAGGATTAACTTTACTGCTTATAATGGAATATAGCATCTTCAGAGGCCCGTGCTTCTTAGAAAGAATGAAAGATCTCTCTGCCAAGACTATCAAACAGTCTTTATATACTCCACCATTGCCTGTTGCCTAGGAGACCAGTGTAATCCAAGTACTTTCCTCTCTTTTCCCTGGCTCTCCTTTCCCTTTTTCACCCCCTCTCTCTGATTGGAGACTCTATTGGCTGGTGCCACTGAGCTGGCCTTCAGACGGACACAGCAGCTGTCAGGAGATGGAGATAAATCTGTGGCAAAGTGCTCTGAAACCTATTGATTTCTCCTGATTACAGAACATTTGGAAAGATGTTCTCCACGGAGCATATATGAATAATCTGATGCTCTCAGGATCACATATCACACCCTTTAAAGACGGATGTGGCCCTGTTCAAAGCTTTATTGTGTCTGCACATACACTTAGTACTCAAATACATAAGTTGAGAATGTAATCACTGCAACTTTAACTCATCAGTAGGTGTTTTTTCACTTTCTTGAAATTGTCAGAATGTCATATATGACTTAGTTTAACAATAGTAGATTTTCCTGCAGGGCTTGTGCCATACGATTTGTGATGCTATGGTAATTAGAATTGATTGTCTTTGTTTAATCTCACCCTTTTGCCTGTTCCCAAGAGACAAAAATGCCTAGACACCCACTTTTTTCAGTTATTTTTGCTGTATATAGATAATATCTGAAGGGGGAAATTGTAGAACATTATTTTTTTTTTAATTGGTTTCATTTTTCTATGTCCCTACAGTAATGATAATATGAATATTATTAATTTTATTTAAATAATTGTATTTATTTATTTTTTTCTTTAACCAGTTGCTATACTTTCCCATTTCATTGCTTCCACCCTGTTCATTTCTTTTAACTCCTCTATTTTTCATTTCCATCAGAGCATCTACTGGACAGACCATTTAAGGATTGAATTTCATGGTGCAATTCATCTTTGTGGTTGGTCCAGGTATGGTTTTAAAACACGCTGATGGAAAGTTGACAGCTTAATTAGGTGGAGAATGTCAGTTTGTGCTAAGAATAAATGCATTCGCTGCTTTCAGAAGAAAATGGAATTTTTTGCTAGGAAAGACCTTTCCCTCTGGAAAATATTACATGGCATGAAACAGTGCTCCATAGACCTACTATTAAATTATTTACTGAAATAGTCATATATAAATATAATAGTAATTATAAATAGTAATAATATAATATAGATTATAATTAGTAGTCATTGTATAATAGTACTATTTGTAGTGATTTTTGTTAATTACATGTCAATTATTTGATGTTATTATTACTACAGCAATTTATTCTATATATTTATATAACCATTTTTTATGTTGCTTTTGTATCTCAGATTTTTACCGGTCAGGCTCTAAAACATTGAGACATGAGTGTAAATGAATTCTGAGTCCAATAAATGTGCTGTTGTTTATTTTGTTTGCTAAAACACTCCAAGGGTTTGAATTGTTTGACTTGTGCTGGTACAAATCTTTCCACTGAAGCCAAATACTGTGGGTAAAGAGCCGAGCGCTCGCTCTGGGCTTTGCTGCAATCAATAGAGTGTGTTATCGTTTCTTAGCCCTTGTCGGGGGGATCTAGTATTCAAGCTGAAAAAATCTCATAGCAGTTCTTTTTGAAAGATATTTTGGCCCCTTCAAAAACACTCAATTAACTTTGATCAACAGCACTCAGTAGGGACGACTGATTTCAGTGGTTTTAGTTAACGAAAATGAAACCTACTGCAAAAGCAGTGTTCGGTTTGTTATTTAAGCGAAGTTTGAATTCGTGACACACGGCCCCGGCCAGCGTGTGTGTGTGTATTACCTCAGGGCACACAGTATGACACTCTGTCAGTTTTCTGAAGGTCATGACTATTGATTCATTGAGAACACACAGTCTGTCTAACACAACAGCACATGCTGTCCATCGCTTTGAAGTGCCTGAGTGAAAGGAAATGACTTTCACTTTACAAAAGCACTGTGATAGTCTGCACTTTGTTCTGTCGCGGTGGTTTGCTGATTGTGTAAATCTCTGACAGTAGAGGGATAACTTGAGCTGAAAAATGGGGCTTAGTAACATGACTCTGATTGTAGTCTGTACTAATGAGCTCAAGTAATTTTCCCCTGATATCACTTTCAAAGTGACATTTTGCTGTTTCCTCGTTTTCAGCAGGATCTGGCAGGAGAGCTAATTTATATACCGGGAGCGTTCGCTCACCGTGCTGTTTTTTAAAATGCTGAGTTTGTCTAAGTGGTCTGTAGCATCTGTGCTAGCTGTAGTTTGCACTTCTTGGGTTTTTATGCATTTTGTTCTGCCCATTTCACTTTAATGAACTGGAAAATGTGGAGATCAAGGGGATGCAGGTGGTCAGGTTCTACTTTTTTCCCTTGTACTGGATGAAACAAACTCAGTCTTATCTTGCAGCCAGAGCAAACCATTAACTCAGAAATTCACAAAATGAACATATATTTCTATTTAAAGTGATTTGCAGCAACGAAGTGACCAGAAGTGTGAACACTCCTTCATATTTCCATTTGCACCCTGAATAATAATTTATGTAAGATTTATATTATTGCCATTTCTGTCCATCATGTTAAATTACTTTTTTCCCCCACTCAGTTTGCATGGAATTGCATAATCTGTAAAGAAAACATGCTCTTTGCACAAGAATCCAACAGAGAGCAATGTCAATGCTGCAATACTGACATAAAATATTATAATATTAATATTTAGTAAATGATTCATATTATTACATATTTATTTAATATATTTAAATATAATAAAATATTAAATATATTCATTAAATTTAAATAATATACATGTATTAAATATTTTATAAAATAAAATATTTTGGTGTTTAATAAATATAAATTACTATTGACTAAATAATACATATTCATATTATACAATGTTATGTCTGAATTATGGTATTAACATTTCTGTCCATCATGTTGGATCTGAAACACAGCTTAAGACAGCCCATTTTCAAGAGAAAGAAAAAGAGAAAAAATGCTACAGTATATTAGTATGCTCAGCTATCCGTCATTGCATATTCATGATTTCATTCATTTTACTTGATGATCTGATGTTTCAGTATGAAGTAAATTAAAATAACAAACGGAAGCACAGTGCTATAACTGGTGTCCGTAGACACGATCCATACATTAAAATCCACATACCAGATTAATCTGAGCCAAAAGGTAAAAGAAGCAGCACACAAACACCAGTTTTTGCCACAAGACAGTGACAAATGAAAATCTTTGACCGGTTCTGCTAGCTGCCCTGGTCTTTATTGTTGTCTCTTGACACGCTTAGCAGCTTTTTTATTTTTCTGTCCTGATATATTCCTCTTTCTCCTCCACAGAGTATTGGGAAGGGCTCCCTGTGGTGCATAGACCCAGAATACAGACAGAATCTCATCCAGGCGCTGAAGAAGACGCCTTATCATCCTTATTCCCAGGTGTTCACCACGCCTCCCACCTCTCCTCAGGCATATCAAAGGTAGGCAAGCGGCCCACTGGACACATCGATCCTTAAACCTCACCAAATGTCTCTCTCTCTCTCTCTCTCTCTCTCTCGCTCCGTGTTGTGCGCTTGTCCCTGTTGGTATCGGTTAGCAGCGGAACCCATGGGTGGCATCAAGCTGAGCGGAGCTATCAGAGCGAGACCCGGCATTGGGTTCCGAGCGGCTCCTTCACTGCTCCATTTCATTTTGATCCAACAGGTCTGCATGCTCCCAGCCACTCGACTGTGCAAGACAAAATAATTGCTTTACTGTAAAACTCGAACTGGCATATCATCCTTAACAAAGGATATGGAACAAATGGGCGGCCAGCTCAGAGGCTAGAAAGGATAAATGGAGATGGATGCTTTTAAAGAGATTGTATTAAACCGGACAGCTCTAGTAAGAGAGATCGGCTGGGTTTCAGGTGTTGCTCAAGCATGGCGAGATGATTAAGGAATGAGGCGGAGAAGGGAGCCGCGCTCAGATGTTTTTGGATAGGGTTTTGTCACGACGGCCTGCATTTCTCCCTTCAGCAGTACTGCAAGCTGCAAGCACATTGCTGCCTCATCAAGGCAGAAATCTCACAGCTCGACAAACAATTGCTGAATAAGGTCGTTTCTTTAAAAAATATATACTTTTTTCTCCCAAAATGCATGTGTGCAGGAGGTGAAATTACGCTGTTTGCCAAACTGCGCCACAGAATGCCGAGTGAAAATCATCACATACCTGATGAGAGGCTTTTTGAGAGGAATGATAATTGGTGTTATTTTATTCTAAGGTTTCTGATTATATCTGAAAGATTTTTCAAAACCTTTGCACCTGGTAAATCAAGTCTTATTGAATAACCACCCTCAGTCAAGTTTAACCAGGTATACTATCAAGTACATGCTTTGGATTATTTGGATTAATATATATATATTATAATTATTATTATTATGTGTTTTTTTTTGCTGTAAGGGTATATGTTGTTACATTGGCCTTTTCCATTATTTAATTTTTTTCCCCAGATATATATTTTAATGTACTTGCTCCTTTACGTGCAAGTTTATTCTAATATATTGTGGTATTTATAGGGGTCATATGATGCGATTTTTCCTTTCTCTTTGAAGTGTTACAAGCTCTTGGTGCATAAAGAAGATCTGTAAAGTTGCAAAGACTAAAGTCTCAAATCCAAAGAGATATTCTTTATGAAGTTAAGAGTCAACCACGCCTACCTAAAACGCCTCGTTTGAACACACCCCCATATGTCTACGTCACAATGTGGGAAGATTTGCATAACGCCACCCAAATGTTCATGCAAAGAAAGAAAGCGTAACTTTTATTCTTCGCTGTAGTATAGTTGCGCTGCAGCCATGTCGTGAAGACGCTGTGTGCTTCGTTGTGAAAGCGAAAC